CCACACCTTCCCTTTTCTTCCTAAGATGTCAGCCTTTTAGCACCCCTTTATATTTGAATGTACTACTACATCAAAGATCCAAAACTTATGGGGCTAGAAAAGAGTAGACTGAAAGATGGGAGGCACAGATGCATGCTTTAAAGGTCCAAAGAGATTTTGTGTGCCAAAAAATCTCAAAGGGAGATGCACATATTCAGCTTCTCTGAAAATGGGATGCTATTGACATGCTGATTATAGGTATTCAAAATTCATTAAAAAATGTTAGCTTCAGCCTTTGTCTCTTGTTGATGATACGTAAGCATTGAAATGGTCTCCTGATAATCGGCCACATCTGCTGTCAAGAACGGCTGACTGCATAGTTGTATCAATTCAACAGGTGAATGTTTGCCTAGGGAAAGTCAACCAACTCTTTCTACATCCATTGAAACAAGATGCTGACTTTCTGGGTTAGGGCATACATAGTGCTTCCTATCTGGAGATAGAGAGGCATTTACATTCGATTCCACTGCTCACAGTATACACTGTTGGAGTCCTGTTGTTCACTTTGTTATATTTATGATAGAGAAAGGCAAGAAAACAGAATACTTCATTACTTCTAAATAGCTTTTTTATTAAAGGATATTTGCTTATACTTACTCTGCCAGACTCTCTAAGTGCTGAAGTAGATTATTGCAACTGTTTTTATAAATACTTTTTCTGGCAATCATAAACTTGGTGACAGTGCAAGTTCTATAATGAAAAGGCAGGTCTAGCTGATGGGGGAGAGCAGGGGGATGTCTCCTAGTCTTTACAAGTTTTCTATAATTTATTAAGGGAGAATGCTCCTATCACTTGACCAGATCTAAGGCCCTTACTTGGAGCTGGGTTTTTCACCCAGCAAAGTCACCGAGATTAGTCAGAGCAAGATTGGGCTCCCTATCCGGAAGGGGCCTGACCTCATATGCTAAGAACTTTCCATTTTCAGCCAAAGCCACAGAAATGGAAAGTTCTCTGCACTTTACAGACGGCCTTCAGCACCTCACAGGATTAGACACAAAACCCAAAAGTATCAGGAAATAGCTTAACAATGTTACAGATCATGGAAAATCTGTTGCTAAAGAAATGTGAGTCGTTCCCCCTCCCCTCCCCCCATTACATTCTTTCATTTTTCTCAGTTCTGTCTTTTAATGTTGAGAAAGATATTATTACCATCTGAGACAGCTATCAGATCTCTACGGTGCTTTCGGTACTATGTGACCTCACAGATAATGGAAATGCCCTGCCTTTCAGTTGTCTCCTAACCAGCATCACAAGAAACCACTACAGAAAATATTCATCCCACAGAAACCTATTAAGATACAGTCTGATGAACATAGAGATTCACGTTAAGGAAAAAGGAGTCTCGACACTCAAGATTTCCCACGTACATCCATCTTCCCTGAAATACCAGTTTGCAGCACGGCTGACAAGGACCACACAGCCACTTCCCTTGACTTCACTTATCTCATTTCTAATCACAACAGAGAGGTGCTGAGATAACATCTTCTAGTCTAACCTTAAACCTCCAGGCAGTAGCCCCCCCTCATCACTTCCAAAAGCACATGGAAAATTGTGGGTTGTGACCAGTACTTTACTCTTTCGTTTCTCACATCACACAATTTCTCTGGCAGTGGCAGAAGGATCTCAAGCAACAAGCTACCAGCAGATAATACTACACTGCTTTTGGTAAGAGAAAGTTGATCCTGCAGAAGTATTTTAGTTATATGTATCTTTCTGGAATGATTCTCTCATCCTAGGGAGTGTTCAGGATACACTCCTTTCAACATCCAGCAACAAAACCAAACTGACTTACTGCTGGGGGGATTTCTGTGCAGAGAGGGACTGAATTTGGCCAGCGTGAGTTAACCTTGCTACGTCCAACAAAAACTCTAAAGAGAGGCCTGCAGTTTTTGGCTGGTTGGTTTTAAAGGATGAACAGAAGTCCAAGTGGTAAATCCTTCCTCCTCAACCTTTGGCACACCCACTTTTCCATAGTTAAAGGACTGTGTGGCTACTTAACAGACGGGAAAAGCATCTGAGTAGAGTGGGGAGTTGCAAGTGCCTTTGCCACTTTTACCCTTACCGGCTTTTTCGTGGATTCATTCCCTTCTGCACGTGCAGTGAGTGGTGGACATATGGGCACGCAGATGACCCCAACACTTCAGTTTAGCAGGTATAATAAAACATCCCTACCTAAGAGGCTTAATTAATTCTCTTCATAAGCCCTTTAAGAACTTAGGATAGCAGTTTAAATGCAAGTGCACAGTAAAATGATTTAATTGAAAATGCAGATGGGAATAAGAATGTTTCCAGTCTGTCGGCTGCACAACAGCTCGGCAGCAACTCAATCAAAGTACTTTAGGGTATATTGACACATCTTGCTATTAATATTTTCTTTTACCAACTGCTTCTAATACACGCACTACAGTGAAACAGGTCTATTAAAAGACATGTCTTAATTCGAAAGGGTTATGAAGAGAATTGAGTCAGTGCCCCAGCACACAGGCTACCTTGAAAACAGATAGAGGATTTCAATCCTCCCAGCTAGCAATAGACCCATTTCTTTATTCTTTTCTGCCAAGCTGCTTTAGCAGCATCTTGAGGAGCCAAAATAATAACTCACAAAGTCGCCACATGTGGTATGAAAAGATTAGACAAGTCTTAAGCGGGAAGGGTTTTAAATCCTGACTGATAATACAGTAGTGAAATTATACACGATGAAAGCAGAAGGAAAGGGGCTGGAATTTAGTAAAAAGGAAGATTTAATCTGGGGACAAAACTTTCATATAAATCCAACCCTTATATTCTAGATGATTATTTCAAAAGCTGGAACTTGTGCTGTTGATCTCTTAAACTGATTATGGAGAAAATGTATGCACTTTTAGAAATAGACATTGCCAGACATGCATTTCAGACGTCCTTTTTCATCATTTTTTATTCCTTAACAATGCTAAATTGCATAATACTTATGATCATTACTTAAGCAATGTAAAAATTCAATTTGTAGTGAAGCCATATAACTTAATGGACTATAGTTATGATGAGTTCTAGAAGACAGCAACATTGAAACTCACTGGATTCCAGCACAGAAAAGAGCTGTTTTGTACCTACAAGATCATATTGGCAACAGAAAAAAATAATGATGCAGAAATACATTTTCATCATGATCAAATTTTGATACTTGAAAAGAATCTTCATGTCACTGAATAGGAGACAATTTCCAAATATCAGCATTATATTAAAAAGAACAGGCATTTCTATGTCATGTGAGCTTCATATACAGGAAATGCAATGTTGAGGATTGCCAGTGCATGGCTTATACATGGATCTCTCACAGTGTAGAAAGTATTTGCTCAATGGAAATATTCATGCAGTTTTCATTTGTTGCAAGTACTTTTTAAAATGAAGATACCTAATTAATAGTTAAGATGATGGGCAAGCACTTATATAGTACCTGAAATCAAAGGGTCTCAAATTGCTGTTCAGATTTATTAACCACTTGCAAATGAATTTCCCTTCCTGTAGGGCCAAAACGTAACCACCTCTGTGGTAGAACACAGCAGTTGTATAACAAGGCATAAGAGCATCGCCAAACTATTTAAGTGCAGAAAATGAAAAAAAAAAAATCTTGTCCAAACAAATCTGCATCACAGAGGAATTTAAGAGAGGCTGAATTTAATTTTCCAATTGGCATCTCACTATGACACCCATGCTAATGTCCCTAATATTGGAGTGTTTACTTGTTTTTTTTGTAATGATGGCAAGTAGTCATTGTCTTGGTGTTATGTCTCATGATAAAATCTAAGTCATTCACATACTCACAGGTAAATTTCCTATCCTGTTCCAAAGATATTATTCACAAGTCCTAGCTGATCCAATTGTACATTTTTTTTCCTATTGGGTATGGTTTCTTTAGAAAAGAAACTTAAAAGCCATCCAAGCCAGCTCAGCTTCTTGCAGGATTTTTTACTCTAAATCCTTTCACTACAAGAAGTCACTCCTACCCTCTTTATCTGAGGCAACAAACCATCTGCAACAATGAGTCGGGGAAAACACATTTGGCATCTCCTAGCACAGCCATCAACTCTTAAGACTGCAAGGTTTTCAGGCAAACATCCTGTTAAAATGCAACATGTGGCAAAGTGAAATGATGTAAAATATTCTACACGTAGTTAAAATTGTATTATGTACCACAGAGGTTCCCTTTCAGAGGCAGAGCATGGTACAAACAGTAGGAGATTCACCTTTGATAAGTAAGTAGACTGAGCAATTGGTGCTGCAGTGGAAAAAGAAAAACTAACCTAGTCTTTCTCTGGGGCAATGACTGCATTAATTGGAATAAGTGGCAAGACAACAAATTGAACCAAAGGAAGTTTATCTTCCTTCTGGGTATCATGTATTTGTATAAATGATTATATTAATAGAAAAAAGAGAGTAAAGAAAGTACAAATGGATAACAAGTAAGCTCCAAAACATGCTAAAGATGCATAACACTATTTCTAATTTGCATGAAATAATTTAAAACATATTTCCACATAAATAAGGACAGATTTGGTTAGCTCTAATAAAAGGTTTTTTTTTTCTATGTCCTTTAATTGGACTAGGATTTGTCTTAATTTATAAGGTATAAGGCATATTATATGTATGCATGTGTGTGTTTTTATATGCAAATACATCTTGTAAATTGATATGAAGATGGTCCTACTCCAAAGTCATCATCCCAATTATCAATATTAACAATATTCTATGAATACTAATATAATACTGGTTCATAGATCAGATCAAATATTCTAAAAATACCCCAAGAAAAAATATTATATTACCCTGAAGATGCTTAGAAGATTATTGTGACTATCCATAGGCACCCCGCTAATCATATTTACAATGAGAAATTATTTGTAAACCTTTAAGTGATGCAATAAGAGAAATGCAGACTTGCTGCATTTAAATGAGAAACACCATTCATTATACTTCAGACTTACATTCAGGCTGTGTAGCAACCTTAATGGGCTGCGAGCTCTCCCCTGGTCCCCAGTCATTGTAAGCCACCACTCGAAACGTGTAGGTCTCTTCTGGTTTCAGATTTCCGACTGTAAGCTGAAGTATCCCAGACTGAGATGTGTTCAGTCCCCGCTCCCTAAGTAAAAATAGTCATACAGAAGAAAAAAAAAAAAGTTAATATGGCCCTCCAAGGAACACTCATTTGTAATAGCTGGCAAGCTTACAAATTGTTGCCACCTTATCTAATTCTGGTTCTTGGCTTCGATGCCTATGCAGTTTCTTTTTGGGGCCTAAAGCATTCCATTACAAAATAACTCCTATGTGGAGCCCAAGATAGGTGGTAAAAGGACTAAGAGAAAAACGAAAGATTTTCTATTATAAATATTTCATAAGCAACTCAATCTATCAGCTACTTCCCCTTCCTTAATGCATTAGGAAAGGAAAACTGATGGGAAACAAATAGCTATTCAGTAAAGGGAAACATCTGTGATATACATAGTGAGATGCATATTGGATCATAAACATCCAGCTAATGACAGAAAAACAGGTTCTGATTGTTCCACAAATTAAGCCTTGTCAGTGCTGCTAACAGATGTGCCTTCTTGATGATAATCGGAAAAATACAACAACCACCCACTAACAGAGCTTCATTTAGTAGTGTCAGTTACTGTAGCTATTTTAAATGCAAAGAAAACACACAGAGATGAAATTTCTTCATTTGGCTGGTTCTGTTTCCCCTTCAGAAGTCATAAAGGAAGCACATTTGTAAAGTATGCAGTATTCCCACTTTATCCTTTGAGCATCTTGCCAAAAAAGTGTATAGAGATGATTAGGAGGCAGTGGCATCATAACCTGCAGACAAAAACAGTTTCTGATTCTGGCATCAGCAGCGGAGCACAAAAATCAAGGTCAATATGTAGCCCCTTTGCTGCATTCCAGCTAGGATAAATGGATGCCATCAATTTTATTCTTTCTTTTGCTTCCTCACCCCAATCCAGCAGTACCTAGGAAAATTGCTGGTTCAGGACTGTCCAACAATTTTAACTTTGTTTTCCTATGCCAAAATTACAGCTGGTCCTGTAAAGGCACCATGTCTTCAAAGGAACCTGCACGGAACCATCCTTCCCTTGCATACCTTTTCAAGATGCCAGCCGAGGTGCTGATCTTGACACAGCAGACATGCAAGGACTCCAAATGTTTTTGTGCATTTTTCCAGACACAGGAAATATAATGGGACAGGGCCATAGTTCACTTTTAGTGTGGTTTGACAACAATCCACTGCCATCAAACAAGTTACATCCCCAGGATCATTAGCATGCTCTTACCCTGGGGGAGGTGGGGTAGGGGAATGGACTTAGAATAATATATAAAGTTTTAAGTTTGAGATAGTCAAACAACTCCTTAACTATCCATGAACAGATGGAGGGAAAACCATTTTTATGAATGATTAATTCCTGGTGATTTTCCTAGTTTTTGCTAGACAACTCTCTGGCACCTAAGACAAGAAGGGAAAGAAATAAAGCTGATGACATTTCATTTAAAAAACAGGAATTGATGATTTTAAATTTATCAAGCTTTTTGTGGAGCACAGTTTCCATTCTACATGGTGCCATATACAGACAGCAAAATGGTTCAGAGGACAATACCTTTGGAATCGTCCCTTCGGGGAATGTGTTAGGATCCAGAACAACCTTCCTTTGGAAGTGATGGCGTTCCTATTGCTGCAATTTTACCTGGATGAAGCAATAGTCTAGGGGATGATCTGGAATCATCCTACACAGGACAGTGACTGCTTGATATATCTCTTTGAGCTGTCAAAGGAGACAAGCAGAAGGACTTCTCATACAAGCCAAGAAGGATGAGGATTTCTGGAAGAATGCAGCTCTCCAAGTGAAGAAAAAATATATAGCCTTCCCTTGCGTTTTAGGGGAAAAGCTGCCCTTGACCAACCCATGCTCTCTTATTCTAATGCCAGCCTCTTCTACCTATGATTTTTATTTTCAAAACTTTGAAGTCTGGGAATCCAAAATAGAACTAGCTACTCCTTTTTTGGGGGGAGGGGGGTCTTGATGTATTCAAAAACCCACACCACAACACCACCCGCACTGTAAACACACTGACCCCTGGTGTGTCTGCTGAAGCCAGGAAGGTTGCTGTTGATACTCACCAAGTGCCGAATCAATCCCAAAACAACTTTTATATACATTTTTTAAATGAGAGAATTCACAACAGTAAGAAGTGTTTGGGGTGGGGGGGGGGGTCAACAAAATATAATTTCCCAGACAATTATGGGGCTGTTGGTTATACTGCATTGCTATTTCATATCAGATGCATCTTTTTTTGTTAAGATAGCTGAGCAAAATTGAAAACCCTGCAACTCACATAGAGGAGAAGAAGTGAAAGGAGGAACACAATAAGCAACTAAACCCCACCAAAAGTGAATGACAGCAGCTTCTCTAGAGCCTTGGGTGTGTCCGTTTGCTTATCTGCCTATGGGGCAGTGCTATCTGTGTTGATGTCCACATTCACACGATGGAACATAGGTAGACTCCAGCACTCTTGCAGAAAATCTATTCCAAATACTAAGCAGAGTTAAAATTCAAATGCTTTATTCCCTGTTGTTTATCAGTCCAATCAAAGCGAATAGCCAAAACTGCCTGTTGAATACTAGTATTTCTCCAGCTAAATCAAATCTATACTTTAGGCTCAAGGGACCTGAATCTTACTTTTTATATGTATATATTTTTACACACACACACACACACACACACACACTGTAGTTTGTATCAAATGCTGCTGTAGCGTAAGAGAGGACAATTCCAGCATGATCACATTTTATATCCACTTCGGCCAAGATTCAAAATAAAAGAAAAATCAAGTCCGCTGCACACAGACATGGGGGTGGTTGTGACTTTTTCTCCTTTCTACATTTGGTATGGTAAATCCAGGCCTACTGCATTCCAAATTAGGCATGTCAAAGCAAGCATTTAATAGAGAGATAGTAACTATGGCTGGAGCTTTCTAAGGATCCTCAGAAATGTACGGGCTTAGCTTATACTGATTTTTAATGGGATTTTGGTGCATAGTTCCCCAGCTATTTTGAAAATTACAACCCAACTGAAAATCACAGTTCTTGACTATATTGCTCTAGACTGTCTGAAATACCACAAAAACAGACCACATTATAGTAGTGAAGGTTCCACCCTTTGTCCAACTTCTATATTTTGAGTTTCTAGCCATCAAACTTAGGATGCCTTCTGAATAAAATATTAGAAATGTGGCATCCAAGTATAGAAATGTTCTTTATCCCACCCAATTGCAAGACATAATCATTCTACATGCCTTATATCTCAGATTAATGGCCTGAAACAAGCTGATGTATTGTCTTACACAATCTAAGGAGTTTTTTTCCACATTCTCACCCCCTGTATTTTAATATGGCAGTTCAAGTTCTCCTAACTTCAGAAGAAAGAGAGAGAGAGAGAGAGAGAGAAGGAAAGAAAGAGAAGGAGAGACAGAGAGAGACAGAGAGAGAGAAAGGTACTGTAGCAAAAAATAAGGGTTTCAATTTTGCTTGAGCAAGAATTGAAGAATAACTGAGCAAGAACTTCAGGATGGAAACCGGGGGAAATTAAAAAGGGAGGAAGGTCTAAGATTTTGCTTAGAATGGCACTCACAGCAGCAGCATCTCCTTTTACAGATAAAAACTCTACCTGGGGTAGAGCAGAAGTAAAAAAGAAACTGTATGTGATGCACAACTTTGACCCTGAAATGGGAGAAGTACCAGTGTCTTCTAGGAACTTTCTACTTGCTATTAGTTTTATGCAGAAGATTCCCATAACTGGTGGTAATGGGTGGTGGTGGCATAAAACTCTGAGAGAGAGATAGAGAGATAGAGAGAGAGATTTTTTTAAACATGACTGTGTAAAGTTAGGCTCTGACTTCCTTCTATGGGACCTTAAATCCTTATTTAGCCATTCAAAGAAATGTCTCTGTGCTTAGAGAGAGGTAGAATGGTCCAGATCTCAGAACATTAGAGTAGGACTTGGGGACCTAAATTCAACTCTGATGAAGAGTTTTCATGCGAGTTGTGGTTTTAGTCACTTGGTCACCAGGTACCTTGTTAGCCTTTCCATGCCTCACAGTTTTGTCCTGAAGAGAAATACTTTGCAGACTGTGAAGCACTCAGCTGCTACAGTAATGGGGGGCCATGTTACTGCCTGAGATAGAAAACTGCAAGGGCCTCAGAAGCTCCCACTGAAGTTAGGTACTCTTTTCTGAGATTTTTGGCCAGAAACTACATGCTAAATAAAAGTCAACTTCTGATATGATTCACTTCTAATACAGGGATTTCAATATGTAATTTCCAAAAGTAAAAGAGGATCTTTACATAAGCAGATCAGAGTGTTAAAATGTAACTACAGTGTTTGCATACACCTCTTAGGTGAACAACAGATGCTTTTATGACATTTTATATACTTAATTATTTGACTAGGGTGGATGAATCACATTAATATTCCCTGTTGTGAAATGAATATTATTTGTTTTTAAATGGATAAGTCTTTAGACTAGGGGTCAGCAACCCCCGGCATGCGTGCCAAGCATGGCATGCGAGGCCATTTTGCTTGGAATGCCACCACCAGCCCTGGCTCTGGGTAGCTGCTGCCAGCCAAGGAGCCCAGGCTGCTGCTCCAGGCTCCGGCATCAGCTCTGTACCGGCGTGTGCATGCACGCCTGACAGTGGGAAGTGGAGGAGGGGCCTGAGGCAGCACAACCCCGGTCTCTCCCCTGCTGCCAGCACCGAGCTGGTGACTGGGCTCTGGAGCCCGGCGCAGCTGCTTGTAGCCAACCTGGGCTCTGGGCAGCTGCAGCAGCCTTCAGGCAGGCTACAAACAGGTGCGCTGGGCTCCACAGCCCTGGCATCAGCTCCATGCTGGCAACAACTGCAGCTTTTGCTGGCAGCGCTCCCGCCTGCCCCCCTGCCCACCGGCTAAACAGGGACCGCAGCCTGACAGGGGGTGCACTGGCACTCTCAGGGGGTGGACGTGCACCCCTGTGCACCCCCTATGTGTCGCCACTGTGTGTAGGCATTTGTTCTGGGTGTGCTCTGGTTCTCTGTGTTTGTGCACATGTGGT